CACCGTCACATATAATGCCCCTATGGGGATTCGAACCCTCGACCCTCAGATTGCGAGTCGAGCGCCCTAACCACCTGGTCATGGCTTCCTTGTTTCATTATTTCTGTAATCAAACAGTAGTTGTAATTTTTAGGGAAAATATTTTTGAAACTACCAAATATGAGTATATTTTAATGCACCAAATTCAAAATAATTATGTAATTTTTTTACACAAACGACAAAACTGAAACATGAGGTTTAATGATGAAATATGTCTTTCGAAAATTAATCAAACAGTGGTTCTAACAAAACAGCTTCCTATTAAAAGTGTTAGACTTATTTTAGAACAGATAAATTTTTCTGTAAAAGCAGCCAACGTATTGGTAACATTACTTTAGAAGACAGAAGAAATTACCACAATGGCATTAGTAGATTGGTAGTTTGTAATGGAGCATGCGTCGTTATACGTTGAACATGTGCGAAAAACGGAAAACGTTCTAAAACTTACTTGTTCCTTGCTCCTTCGAGACATCGACTGTTTGCATGAAAGGAATGATTCGCACGAAAATTAATCTCAAATTGCATATATTTCAAATAAACAAAAGTCTTATTCTTATTGGATGTAGTAAAGTTAAAAAAACCTTTAAATTGATAATAAAATCAAAATGTTTCGAGAATAAGAAATTTAATGGTAAAACATAAAAACCAAACACTCATAAACACTAATGTAGAGAATAAATGGTTCAAGTTGACAAAAGAATCGTGAAACCTAGGTTTTGCAAATGTTTTCGCGCTCTTTACTGTAGGATTTCGCAATTAAAATACATTTATTATAAAGGATAGAATATTGGCGGCATTGAGCAGTGGAGTAAACTAGCATTGTTAAATCAGATCTCTAGTGAACCTAAACTACTTCTTTAGAAGTCCTTAGGGAATAATTAAGATGCAGTTTAAAATCGAGCTAATATATCAAATCTTAGATTAAATTTCAAATTCACAGGAAAAGATTGTTGGAGGGTTAAGAATAGTTAAAAATGTTCTAAACAACATGAATACTGTTATATTTTTTAGTCTTAAACTGAAACAATTGTCTTTAAACGTTTAAATTTATAGCAACGAAAACTATACATTTGAGTTTACAGTGTATGATTAACTTTAATAATGCACATTTAAACATTTACAAGAGTTGGTTTTGCAGAATGTTTGACCACAAATTTTCGGAAGGCAGACAATATCTTGAAATAACAGTTTATTTGTAGTTTTAAAGTAACAGCAAAATGTCTAATTAGTACTATATACGTTATAGAAGATTTCGATTCATTAAATAAACGAACAAAAACATGAAGTACTTGATGAAAAATAAATATCCAGACTTGGGATTACAACGAAAGTAAGTCAGTAATGTATATCTGTGTAACTATTTACAAATTCCGACTTCACTATAAACTTTATATGAGCTCCTTATTTTTTTGACTTTGATTATGTTCAGTCAAATAAGATATTCTAATAAAGATAAAACTATATAATCACAAAAATCTTGAATTATCTGAAATTTCAGAAATCATTTTATTTCTAAAGAGAAAAAAAAACATTAATACATGAAAGCATTAATTTTACGTATTAAGTTTTAAGTAGACAATTTTAAAAATAATATTTATGCTATATCTGCTAATTTTCTCACAAGACACAAATGTTTCAAGAAACAGAGAAGTACAATTTACTAACATATTTAATGTTGTGACTCAACAAATCTGAATTGACTATTTTAGCTTTTGAGTTACTGTGAGTAGTTTTGTAACTGTATAACTTTTCCTAATCTATAAGATTAGTAAATTCGTAAAATAATTGTGATACAGTTACAAAATCTATCAAGTAGGCTAGTTATTTGTACATTTTTACAACAAAAATGGATTTATTCTTTTCCAATACTTAATAATAGCACTGTTTACACGTAACTAGCATTTATACCGCGATTAATAGGTAAACTACATACGTACCTTAAATACCAGTGATTTTTTAAAGTGGAACCACTCTGACTCCCTAGAATCCGTTATTACGTCACAAGTCACGTGACTTCCAACAACCAATGAGCACCATTACCACGAAGTGCATGTATATTACTTATGTACGTTAGACAACAGTGAATTTCATGATGTCAGTGAACATCAAATCATAAAATTAAGGAAGAGTTTGTGAATTAAAAACAACCTGGGTGTGAGTTTATAGTTAGAAACAAGATAGATAATGTGCAGTGCGCACACAGTGAATGATAAGAAAAGCTTTAAGGAAAACTGATGCGAAACAAAGAGCAAATACCTATAAGCAAATCATAGCAAAATCTTTTTAAGTAATATAATCAGAACGACTTTATTTTATGTCTTTCAACATCTTAGTCTAAAAACAACGAAACAAGATATTACTTAAATGTAGAGGAAAAAACTAAACAAAACATAATTAAAATTTTAAACGCACCTGTTTTATGATTATTATTTTTGTTCCGTTAGGACTTACGTTATGTGAATGCAATAAGCGGGAAATTGTATATTCTCATTGCTTCTCTGCCTACATACACTTTGAATGTGAAAACAGGCTAATTAAGTTCTTCTGTTCCAGTACCTAATAAAGGAAGTATTTATATGTATGCATGTATAATAACAATGAGTTTCTTCTGTTTTAATGCTTAACAATGACTGTTTATGCGTGTCTGTTTATAGCAAGAATGATTTATTCTGTTACAATATTTAACAGTAGTACTATTTACATGTATGTATAATTATAGCGGACCTTTTCTCTTCTAATACTTAACAATAGGATTGTTTAAAGAACGTATTTATAACGTTCACTTTTTCTGTTTAAAGAACAGATTTATAACGTCGACTTTTTCTGTTTAAAGAACGTATTTATAACGTCACTTTTTCTGTTCCAGTATCTAACAACAAAACTATTTATGGTGTTTTGAGTTCGTTTTAGTTCACCATATAGTAACCTAAACTGCTTTAGGTATTTGAATAACGGTCAATCAAAGAATGCATTAGGCCTCTACGTCACATATTCTCTTTTCAATTTCACCTCTGATGAAAAAGAAAAAAAAACTTTAACATATTATACAATAAAACTATTTATCTATATGTTTATAACATAACAGCATTATTAAAGTTTTTCTTCATTACTCATTCAAGCCGTCTCCAGCCGTTATTAGTCTCAAAGTGGGTTCTTCGTCACCGAATTATCTATATATGTATTTATAGCAGGAATGAGTTTCTTCAGTTCCAACATACCGAACAATATGTTATTTATACGTATGCGTTTATGATAACATATATTTTTAGTTCAATATCCAATAACAGGAGTGTTTATAAAAGGAATATACTTTCTTCTCGATTATCTAATATTGGGATTGTTTATATGCATGTATTTATAAACAGGAATGGATTATTCTGCTTCAATACCCAACAATGGGACGGTTTATAAATATGTATTTGTAAAAACAATGGATTTATTCTGTTCCAAATTTAAAAATAGAAGAATTTTGATGTGTGTGGCTATTATAAAATAAATTTCTTCTCTTATAATACCTAACAAAAAACTGTTTATATGTAAGTATTTAAAAGAAGAATGAATAACTTCTGGTTCAGTACCTAACACTGGAACTGCTTATATGGATGTTTTATTAGAATAATGGATATATTCTGTCCTAATATATAACAATGGAAATTTTGTTATCTATATTGTTTATAAGAGAATGGATTTCTTGTTCCAATATCTAACAATGGAACTGTTTGTAGGAAGACCGTGTGTTTTCTTTTCCATTACCCAAAATTGGGTTATTCATATTCATGTAATTGTATGAAGAGTGGATTTCTTTGATCTCAGTGGATGATAATGGGGTTGTCTATATGTATGTATTTTGTAAGATGGATGTTTCTATATCTTCCAGAATACATAAAATGTATGCGTTTTTATGGCAACTTTCAATAATGGTCAACTATAATACCTAATAAAGGGATTATGTATTTAAATAAATTAAAAATGATACTTTTGACATTTACGTAATTAAGAGAAGTTTGCACTTCTGTTGCAGTATCTAATAGTAATAATGGGACTGTTTTCTATCTATCCTAACATTAGGAATATTTATAGGTATATACGTATCTACATCTTTAAAAATGATTTCTGTTCCAAAATTTTAGAAAAGTCAGTGTTTTATATATGAGCTTATAAGAAGGCTGGATGTTTCCTTTCCAATGTCCAATAATGGAACTGTTCACTTTTATTTATGTATTTGTAGTACGGATGAATTCTCTCCCAACATACATAATGATAGGACTGTTTTTATCTATGTGTATATTTATAAAGGGAATAGACTTCTTTTGTTTCAATATTTAATAATGGCACTGTTTATATATTTGTATGTATTTGTAACAACGATGGAGTTAATTCTTCTATTCCAGTATCTAGTAATGTGAATATTTATATGCAGTGTTTAAATTGGGTTTTTGAAAGAAGTGGAACACTGTTTTCAGATCCACTTTGTTGTAGCAGCGTGGTCCAATCAGAAGAAGAGAAACGCTAATGCCTTGGATCCCCAAGAGGTGGAACGCTGTTCCGGACCATTCAGCCCCAGTTAAATCCCTGTTTATATGTACAAATTTATAAAAGCAATGGGTTTCTGGTGTTTTACTCTCTAACAAAAAGGATTTTTTATAATAATTTTGTATTTCTTCTGTTCCAATAGCTAACACGAAAATAGAAATTTTGTATATGCATGTAATTGCCAAGAGAACACTAATTATCTGGCTTAACGATTGATCGGCGATAAGATTTGCTTTACGTATATGAAAGCACAAATTCCCTCCAATTACTGGTTCTAACACTAATTATAATTGAAACTGGAAAGAGTCGACTATATATAGAGAGATATATACTGCTACCTCGGAGTTTGACCCTCTTGGGTATTTCTGGCGGAGTAAATGTTGGAAAGGTGAAAGTTTGGTGAGAATCATCTGCAAGAGAACATAGAGAATCAGAGTGAAAAGTAGAGAGAAGATTCATGGGCTAAGATGCGACTCAATAGATACAAATGTGTAGGTGTAAATATTTACTCAACCAGCCGGCTTAACAAGTTACTATTGTAAGTCAATACTTAATGCTGTTATGAAACTCACCAGGGACGGACAATGTTTGGGTAGTTGCAAATATAAAAATATTTAAGTCAAAAGTCTCAGGCATAGAGTTTTGCTTTTCATGCAATAAATCTTGTTTTATTTAAAACATATAGCTTGATCGGTGAATAGAGTTAGCGGCTAAAAACTTTTAAATGTAATACTTCTGTGTTTGATTGAACAGAAAACTACAGAAACGTAAATTCTAACATACCTATTTATCGAATCACATCAAATGTAGCTTAATGCTTCAAGAAACAAGAGAAACGTAAAAGGTACAAGATCTATTTACCGGATTCTATCCTGTACGTATTTTTATAATTGTTACAAAACTGCCATGCAAGAACGTGTTGGCTATTTTAACAGAAAACAAGATCATATGATTTTTATTCGGATTTCAAAGTTCTTAAGCCTCATAATTTAAATTACGTTAACATGGCTACATAACGTTTCTACAACTATCCTTTCGAGCATTATCTTATTAGACAAAAATCCTTCGCGTCACATTAAATAGATTTAGAACGATATAATTTAACAGATATTTTTTTAAACAAATATGTTATGCTTTGCAAAATAATCTAGCATATTAGTTCGGCTAAAATATGATTAGCAGAATTTTCAGTATAATATCACGAGAAGTATATTATAAAAGAAAAAGAGTTCAATCGGGGGCAATATGATATTCTTATACAATTATTTAGTAAAGTATATGTGATTCCGATTACAATAATAACAGCAACCTAGTGAACTCAAATCGGGTGACGATCACATTTTCTAGCCAGCTTTCAAGTAGAGAGAAGAGTAAGTATTCATAAATCCAATACATTCAGAAATGTTGTTTATGATTAAAACAAACAAACATACAACACATTTTATTCCTATTAGCCTTAAGTTAATGTTTTGAATTTTATATCCCTCCTCAATGTAAGCAAGTATGGAAACAAGAGATAAAACTGTATAGGATTAACATAGAAAGCAGTTCAGTATTTACATTACAGAAGAGCATTGTGTTTTTTAAATTAGCAATTATGTTGATCTGACGCTTGTAAAAGGTTTTTAGTGGTATTTATGTTCAACAAAACACGTTGTTGTTAGACATAAGCTGTCTGCCTGAAAAACAAGTTAACTCTTTAATCGCTGTAGTTTTTTTTTTTGTTCATATCCGAAAACTCTTCTAAGGCTTCTTGTTCAAGCTCAGTTGTCGCTATAGTGACGATTGTTTTTGAAAATAGTATTGACGTGGTTAAGATTCACAGAAATTGAAGTCAAACAAAAATAATTGTTCTTACTAGTGTTTTGATGGAAATCTTTATCGTTTCAGTGTTTTTCAGTTTTACATTAGTTTGACTTTAGCCAGTACTTGTACAACGTACGAGAAACATGTGGAAACGCTGGAGGAGCGCCCTCTGGGTTAACTGCTGGTTTGGTGTGAAAAACGGAATAAGATGATCAGTAAAACTCAGGAAAACAAGCTTCTGATAAAACATAAAATAGAAACAAAGGATGCAATATGTGATGGAGACAAAGTAGACCATTGACAGTAGGATGTAACTGTCTTTGTGCAGCTGTGCAAGAAGAGCAGGAACATGCACTAGCAACGCAAGTTCTGGTGTAATATAACACAACATCTACATACACATTTACTTCAGTTTATTTGAGAATTGTTGTTTCAAAAGGTTATTTTTTCCGTGAAGCTTTGTAACAAAATTTTCAATACACATACATACACACACATTTATATATTCTTCAAGCAAAATTTGAAATGAGGAAAGTTATTTCGTAAAATAAATTAGGATTTATAACACCTTTAACTTATTATTCAGTTTATTTATTATATCTTCTCTGATAAACTATTCAAAAAGCTTCTGCATTAAAAATGATAAAATGGAAATTAAATAATCGGCACCAGTGCTAATACCGTCAAGATTTATTAATTTTCTCTTGTGAAAAATGTATTTTTTTTGTTGGAGATAGATATTTACTGAGATCTCCATACATAAGATGAAACTTCTTGTTATAGATACAAAAAGTCAACAACAGTGTTCCTTTTGAGAGTCCAACCATGCACTAGGCTCTTGTACAGTAACAACTCGACAAACTGTAGCGAGAAGTTACATCACAGTTTGTCGAGTTGTCACCGTACAAGAGCTTAGTGCATGGTTGGACTCAATTTTACAAACAAACACACTAACAACAACAAAAAAACGAGTTGATTATTGTAAAATTGAACAAACTTCAAATTAAGATATATATCTTCAAATATAGTATTTTTTCTTCTACAGCAATTTCTGGCTCATTGTGCGACCAAAGAACAAGGGATTATAAAATGGGAATTTTGTCTACAAGTGACGTCCCCCCTAAAAATTACTATACAAATTGTTGTACCTGTAATGGAACTGTTATATGGTACATTTTCACAAATAAACTTGTCTATTGACACATTTTTATATTGCTATGTGTATCGAATCCTATGAAGACCCAATTTTGTTCAATTAAGTTAATTATTCCTATTTTACTTTTTTACTGTGATCGCCACCTTTAAAAGATATCAATCTACAGTACGTTGTTTATGATTATGAAATGTGATGGATGTTAACAGACGATATTGTTCAAATATGGCTGTTGCTATTTTGTCCTAAAAAATAATTTTTATGTTATATTTTGTCATATTTTGAATTGTTTATTTTTTATGATGCATATGTACAAAATGCAAAAAGGAACCGCTGACCAAATCTAAATTAAAGTTATACAAACCTATGCATCTTACACAGTAGAACCAATCGCGTGGTTACCCATTAGAAATTACATTATCCAATGAAACAGTGAGACAATTTTGTAGCTATGGGACCACTTACTGAATGGCTTATAAGGTTCATACTGAAGTAATACTAGCGAGATATCATTTAGTCTTGCTGATGGAATACAGATTTATCGTATGTCATGTAAAGCGTAATGAACAAAACTAAGCCTTTAAAAAGAGAAGAAAGCTCTCGCCGGAGACGGTGTAATTTGTACCAACACTACCAAATACCGTTTGACTGATGATCTTCCTCCAGACGACAATGAAATTCAGCTAACTTTTGTATCACCTGAAAGACGAACCCAAGTATTTGTTATGTATGATATCGCAATTCTTACTGGATTACGGTATTGCAAAATCCATTTGCAGGACAGAAAACAGTGACAGGTAATAAATGCAAAAATGAAAGACTACACCAACTGTAATATAATGGATATGGCTGATTTGTTTGGACAACAGAGGTGCAGTAGCAGAAAGATCAGGTGGAATAGGCCTTAGTTATACAATCTAATTGAATGTTTTAATCTGACTGGATTGACCAAGCCTCTGTTTCATTACCTATTTTCCAGAATTCCCTCTCTGAGGAAGACGCATGTAAGATCTATGCGAACCTGCTGGACGTTCTAGTTGTTAAACTCTGTATTGGATTATCCAACAGAACTCTGTTAATAGTTCTGTTTTTGGAAAATGCATTTGATGTAACGAGAGTCATACACTCGACTCGTTCTGCTTTTGTAGAAGGGAACATAAATGTTGCTCTCCTAGGGTTAGATGGCCCCCAAAGTGTCAAGTATGCATGCTAGAGGCTAAGTTACAGCATGCATAAATAGCTGCCACTTGCCAAAGGAATGATGGTTGTATCCACTGATGTGCTGAATGTGCAGCAGTTATTCATCACATATTACATAATTATGTTGGAAACATTCGCACATTAATACAATCACATTTTGTGGCTGTTTTGAAAAAAGAATTAGGGATGTACTATATTTCTATAATGAACTGGGCTTGACAACCCAGATGCCATTCCTTCTGCAAATAAAGGTTTGATCAATATCCTACAGAATGAGACAGTCTTTCAAGACCTTTCACTGGGCAAGATATTTTTTTAACATCCAGGTTCCTTTTATAGCAGATTAAGTGATGGCTGTCAGTGATCTTTGCAAACGTCATTAGTTTGCTCTGATACAAAACACAAAAGCTAATTTTGCTACCACACAATCCATGGTCGAACGGATGAAACAACTCTATCAGATTGTGGAGTCCAATAGTTTAGGAGGTGAGAAAAGATTGAAGTAGGCTATACACTTTGAGCTTTCCATTGTGTGGAGAATGGCTGTAGTAACTGACTCTGAGCGTATTACACCAGCTGAACCAGGCTTTATGATATCATCTGAAGATGGACTATATGATGTGTGGGTTTCAGTGAAAGGGATGATCTTCTCCGTGGAAAGATTCAGAAAAGTTGGCTTTCTCTGGATTTAGCATGATAGTTATAGAAACATCTATATTCTAGCTTGGTATTTCCTGTGTTGCACAAGCGCAAGATTAGTGGAGTGCTATGCACAAATAGGATTAAAAGTGTGGTTTCTGAAACCCAAACAGCACTCTGAACCGTATTCACAAGATCAACTCCCAATGCATCGAGTAATGACTAAAGCTGAAATGTGAAAAACTAGTGTACATAGCATGCTAAATGTCATGGTATGTGAAATATGAGATTTTTATGGGTGAGTTAGGGACAAAATTAAAAGCAATTTCCTGGTCATTCAACATTTGTGGGATATGGCGAACACACAAAATTTAAAGAAATTCGAAGAGTATACAAAATTCTCATTTTACAAGCCCTTGTTATTTAATACAAAATTTCCTTACTATTTCACATTTTTTATACTACTCAATGAAGGCTACAAAAATATTATTCTGACAAATTAAAAACAGCAACCATAAGCACAATATTACTACTCTGCCCATTGGGCATTAAAAAGTATTAATGTATTCCTCTTAAAGGATAAAAAAATTCACTATCCTACCTCTCGCGTAAATTAAAAGAATTATGGTGCTGTCCTTTGGAGGATACAAATAAATATTATTCTATCAACTAAATGACACACTAGAGGCCATAAAGTATCACGACTTTGCCTCTTGGAGCAAAATAAAGTGTCATTGCTTGAATAATACGAGATATTATTACCATGCTCATTGGAGAATACACAACACTTTTAATCTACCTATTAAGAAATACAAAATATTACTGCCTTACCGACTGCAAAATACTGCGACTGGCTACTTTATTAAAACATCCACTAATATCGGATTGGAAAAGATTTAGCTTTGGCATCAAGGAAGATTACAGAGGATTACAGTGGCAAAGGTAACGTTCAAGTTCATTTCAAAGATGTTCAGTTGGTTCGAGATCTAGTGATTGTGCTCGTCACATGAGGTTAGTTAAGTCACTGAGTTGTTCTTTGAACCCATTTCTACAAGTTTAAGCATAGCAGATTGTTGCATTATTTTTGGAAGGATCTTTGCCTACAATGACGTAAAGAAGCATTGATGGATGAATGGACGTGATTGACAACAAGTTTTAGGTTCAGACTTTGCTATTCGCCATTTTAAAGAAATCAAATGACTCTATTAAAGCATTCTATAAACCATTTTATCACCCCCAGTAGTTTAATTGAGTGCTGGAACAGAATAATCGAGGTCATATGTCTCGTGGTTTTCTCAGTACCTTTTACTCTGCATTCACCACAAAGATGACAAACAACTTCCTAGAGCACATCACATACATGAAAACATTGTCTCCAATTTGTACTCCAATAAAGCTGTGTTTACTCATCTGCGTCTAAGATAAGCGTTTTTTATACTGGTGTTAGGTAAGAAATGAAAGTTTTTGATATGTTCTCGGCATCGTATGGGAATTGAACCACGACCACCGTTTAAGGAATTGGTCAATTAGGATGGAGTCTCATCAAAGAATTAATCAATTAGGATGGAGTCTGATATCTGTTGCACTTTACAAGCATGTTTAATCATCTTTACCCTTGGGTAGTCACCTGCAATTGTAGGTCAGAGTTTTCTTGAGGCAGACTTATTTCTATTTTCATGGCACTCAATGACACACCCTTTTTATTGTTGGAAATATCTTCTTATCCATTGTCTTGTATGGTAACTGTGGTACCTCAATAAGTGGTTAGTCAACGTGGAGTGCATTTTTTTTTTGCTGCATGCTGGTTTGGTTTTTTGTTAAGCGCAAAGCTACACAATGGGCTATATGGGCTCTGCCCACCACGGGTATCGAAACCCGGATTCTAGCGTTGTAAGTCCGCAGACATACCGCTGTGCCACTGGGGGGCCTGCTTATTGAGGGACACAAATTATTTTTTTTTCCTGTTTATTGACTAGTTTTTAAAATTATTTTCAGTCTGTGTTTATATATTATAAACTATTTAATGTCTCTACATTTTGTATCTATGGCAAAGTTACTAAGGTTATTTGTCGTTGTCTCTAATTTTAAACTACTGATCAGAAGGAATATAGCTAGTCAACAGCGTACTACCATCCACGCTAAATAATGGATTGTCACTTTTATAACGCACCCATACTTTAAGTGCGGTGAATATTTTGCAGTATTGCATGGATTAGTCTGACAAATGACTCTGTGCGTTAAAACAATGTTTTTATCACGGAACATTTTCAATGAAATTGAGTATAATCTTATTTTTCCTTACGCAAGTGATATATAATACTCCAATGCTCAATTCTATTCATTTCTTCCGAATATATAATCAATTTACCACAGTATAACGAACATAAACTTTACATATAACTATCTATATGCTGGCATTCAACATTTTGAAATCTTTATTCATCACAGCAGCATTAAGTTCCCTCGTAAAGTTAAGTAAGTTAAAAAAAATCGGCCATAGCACTGGTGCCAACAAGAGTGTTAACACTAGTTTAGTAACGTTTTAGTAGATTACTCTCTTGAATTTGGACAGAAAGAAACGTGAAACATACTTGCCCTACCAACGACTTGAACTGCTATAACACCTTTCCTAAAAAGAGCCACTGCTGCACATGGGATCAGAAACAAAATCAGATTAGTGCATGGCGAGGTGCAAGTTTCACATGTTTCTTCTACATCTGATGCATGCAATGGGAGACTTGCATTGAGGGTGTGTCCTAGAAACCGGGGAGGTGGGGTGGGTGGGTGACACCATAACATGCAACCACACGGGATACTGAATAAGATGTTGCTACATCACCACAAAGAAATTCAAAATGTTTAAATGGGCAAATACTGAAATCTTTATTTCACTATTTATTTACTACTCTCCACAATGTCCACACACACACACACACATATATATATATATTATAACGTGTTCCAACAACCTGGAAATTAATTATTAATCTCTTTCGGTAAGTGCCTTGATACAAAAACAGAACTTGTGAAACATTACAAACAATGACCACAAGTTATTTTTCAAAACCACATACAGATTTCTATCCTGACTTTTGTTTTAAATGAAACATAAAATTAGACAAATTATGAAGCTGGTTTTACACCTTACAAATGACTTATTCTAGTATTTTTATGTAAATATATAATTAAGAGTAGTTAATTAAAAGCAAATATCCCAGTGAAAATTCTACAACTTTTTTATTTCGGATAATCCCAGCCTCGATGAGATGGCTAGCTAAATGTGTTTCTACTATGAACTTTATATAACGCGAAAGATAAACAATTTTCGTAATGTAACGTTTAAATTCACAAGAAGTACCGAACAAATTTATTTAAAGAAGCCAGTCCAAAGCAGGACGAACCAAGAGTTTTATTTCAAATCAAAAATGTGGAGCGTGTGTGTAATTTTGCTGCTTTTATAACCAGCATCTTTCAAGCAACACCTTCTCGAATATTTTTCTTGTATAACCGTTTTAATAGGAACAATATAGAATTTGTTATTTTTACTTTTTCCTATATTAAAAAAACAAAACAAGAATAGTTAGAACAATTACGTCTAACAGCAGTTTTTGAAAAACGATTTTATCTTGCAACTGAAAGCATTTTTACTAACGGATCACACAAGAGTCCAGTAAATTAACTATATCGTTATAAGAACATTTTGTTTTTCGTAAGTGAGGGAAAAGTGTATCGAATGGACCTTCTAGAATGTCTAAACAATGAAGAAAATTTGGTAAAAGCCGGTAGCGTGATGTTCTTTCTATGGTTAAACGAATTGGATTGCGATTATAAATATACGCTTCTTAACCTATTTATTCTTCAAGTTTTATTCTTCTTGAATCGATTGAATAATTTAATAGAATAGTAAATGTTCTGTAAGTTATCCTGTAAGTGAAGTATGATTTATTTATCCTAGTCGTGTGATATCTTTGAATGAAATGTTGGAAATATTTTCGTTCTCTAAACCCCCTTCCCCTAAATTTGGAATAATTCAAAGCCAATGCGGAAAATGTTTAAACAATGTGTGCTGGTGTGATTATTATTCTACAAAGTATCAAGGAATGAGCTTTAAATTACAAAGTAAAATAAAGAAAGAAATAGGGAATTAAATGAATACTGAACCAGAAAAAGGATATCGTTCAATCACAGTACGTATCTAAGCTACGCTAAAAACATTTTTCATGCATAAAATCCATTTACAATAAAAATAAAAGGGAAACGTAAACTTGCTAATTTTATCATTTGGAATTACAATATAAAGGCAGAAAAAGGTAAAAAGTTTTAGGAAAAACCTGAAATACTAAGCTTAAATAATTTATTTTTATTTATTACAGTTACTAATTAAACGTTTGTCTTGAAAATAATATCATTGATATTGATTTTCACTGTAGAAAATAATATTCGGTTCCCTAATTTTATTTTCAAAAACCACTCTAAAATAACAGAGAAAATTAAATTACGTAATATTAGTAATACTAAAGTGAATCACGCAAAATGAGTTGGTAACCTAGCGGCTATATAGCTATGCGATAGGTTTTCTTAGGTTAAACTTTTTAATTGAAAATAAACACAAGCATCTAATCATCGTACCTTAACAATAAAACTATTTAATGGTGAGAGAAAACATGATTGTTCGTTCATGTATTCATCACAATTAAAAACAATAAAATCCTTTTCAACAAAGTAGAATTAGATATACAGACCCCAACATGTATACAATAACAAAGAGAACATGACTATTAAATGTGAAAGAAGATAACGAAACCCATTTTCATATAAACCTGCAAATAAATAAATTTTCATGTAATTTTTTGTTTGTAGATGTGAGATAATTTTTATAATAACAAAGCTAAGACTACTTTTTGATTTGTAAATACCAAGTAAGAATTATTATATGAAAACATAATTTTATTATTATATTTTTTCGGTAATGTTTATAAGCGACTAACATGTTTTAACGTTTTGCTCACACTTTGTTTGCAGTTAAGCATAAAGTTACACAAAGGGCTATCTGTGCTCTGCCCACCACGGGTTTCGAAACCCGGTTTCTAGCGTTGTAAGTCTGCAGACGTACCGCTGTGCCACTGGGGGGCTTTGCTCACAGAAATTTTAAGTTAAAGCACCACAAACGAAGTATAAAATACTACAAATTATCACAAACTAAATAAGACACAAAACATATATATAAAATCTGAGCAAATATGCTTTATTGCCTTCAGAGAAGTATTTCACAGTAAGAAAGCTTTTCGTATTGAGAATAAGAAAAGCTAACTTTACTAATGTTTTCATCTATATATACAATACAGGTAATGGAAATAAATTTAATAAACTAATTGGAGAATTTCATCTTATCACACTTATATTTGTGGTACTTTGCGATATTTAGTAGGGAAAGGGAAAACGTACAGTAGTTATAAAGCTTTACTAATATGTTTGAGTTAATCTGTTGATCTTTAATAATATCTGAAAGCCGTTACTAAACTTTAGGTGTGTAATAATTAAAATTAAGGTTGATCAATTGAACAAATAATGGAGAAGACGCCCAAAACACGGCTAGGCAGTCCACAAGTTAAACAATAGATTAAGGATTCAACTACAACAATAAAAAAGGTAGGCAATGGTAACTGAGCTTAAGTAAAGTAATGAGCCTGAACTCATGGATAAACAATAATAATTCTTTATTTTACAAATCACAGTCAGAATTTCTGGTGTAGGATCAACGATATGAACAACTGTAATACAAAATGGCAAAATAAGAGAGTGAACTGCTATATTGAATGGTGAAATAAGAGAACTTTGAAAACAAAGATTAAAAAAAACAAATATGGATAAGTAGTGAACAGAAGATAAAATTTCAGGAAATGAGAAATTATGGAAAAATATACTGATGAAACAAACTTAATATTCAATGACTATTTGCACATAGAGAAGACGTTAAATTGCACACAAAAAGTCACGTCACAACTCTACCAATGTGACGATAGACTCTTTCAGACAAGTGAAACAACAAATAACTAATCAGAATGTTCCATTTTACAAGAGTTGCCAATACTTTTACTCTTCAAGTATATGGCTAAAAAAAAAGCAAGAATCGCCATATTTGTTCACTTACTGTATATTGTTATATATCAATTATTAACTGTGCGAGCCTGATAATTCACAGGTATCATATGTGTTTGTACCCTCACATTATTAACATGGGCATCCGCAGAAATTTTTCCCGGCGAGGGGGCAAAGCAGTGTGAAATTGTGAATTGAATAAAAAAATCGTATACATATGCTGAATGAATAAAGAAAGAATTATGTTCCTCATTTTCCAGTGCCCCCTCTTGCTCCCCCCCCCCTGCGTCCGCCCATGATCATTCACTATTGGTGGGGTCCACATACCGATCGTATTTAGTAATTTAATTATTTTACCTGTTACACACCCAGCTTAAATAGATAACCCAGAAAGTAGATAAAATCCCTTCTTTGCTATATACAACACATAGGGCACCCCAGCAGTAATTAGAGGGATTAATTGCAATATCAATAATATTTTTTTGCTTAATTTTTGTTTTGTGATTCATAAGGTGTTAAGAACCCTGTCACCAACATCATGGACCCATAGGCAAAAAGGTGTATAAATAGTTCAGAAAAATGTGTTCAAAAACCAACGCAGTCTGAATTTCATCAGGAATTCTAGAGTCAAAACTTTATTTCATGCCATTTTACCTCGAAAAGCAATCTGCTTTGACCCTTTCTGGACCAACGGACACCTTTTGGGCATCGGGTGCACACCCGCATATCAAATTTTAATATTTAAATTAAAATAATAATTCTAACTTTATTTAAAACATTTTTACTTTAAAATATTTTAGAAATAACATCTTGTCATATTGTAACATTTACTTCGTGTAATTGGAAAACAAAAATGTCAAATATAAATTTCTGCATAATCCCAAGGAACTTCACTTGTAAAGATTGCACTTATACATTTTTTTTGTAGAATTTTTCTGCCCATCCCAAAGCATACACTTATAATTGATAAGATAGATTTGTTTCTTACCCGATTTTTCTACTCTTTCTCTGATTTTATTATTAGGCCCCTGTTCCCACCCTTTTATGACCTCATAGCATATAGGCAAAAAGACTACTAATTGTAGATCAGCTTTGAAAATATCTACAGACAAAGTTTAAATACCACTAGACGTAGCATATTATAAACTACTTAAACATATTCATTGGCTATAAATTGATTTCAACAAAAAATATTGTTAGCAAACATTTTGTTACCGAGATTGACCTGACGCCATTTTGAAAGGCCAGGTTTTAGGTGAATGATAAATCTTCGTCAGATTATATTAAGATTTATACCCGGAAGTAGTAACTATTTCAATCAGCAAAATAAAGTATAAAATGAGATATTCTAATAAAAACCACTCAAATTGAGATTGACTGGATACGTAAAATGGAATTTTCTAATTAACAATGAAAAAAATTAAATTCTAAGACAAAACGAATTATTTCTAACATTTTTTCAAAAACGTATCTCACAACAAGTTTTTGGGAATTTCACGAGATGAAAAAAGACAGGAAAACTAATCAGATTATAAGAATTTTTGAA